CCGAGGCTCGAACCCGTCAATGGCCATTTCAGTCTCACTTCTCTTTGTCGACAATGAGTGTAGTGTGCGAAGTTTGCTTACCTTTCTCCGCAATTTTTATAAGCCCTACTTAAGCCGCCTGGAGACGAAATCGGGACTACAAATCAATCAAGCCCGGAGTTGGCCGTGCGGGTCTCTGTACGCCGGCGCCATATCGATACATCGATTGGTTAAGTTCCCCTCCGTGGACCAGTCTTCAATTAGCTCTCGACTCGTCTTAAACTTTACTCATTGAAACACCTGGAACGTGAATCCTCGCGTCCATACACTTATTTTGCTTGCCCTTCTATTTATCAAACGAATACAGCCTGTTCTGGGGGTGCATGCCAAAAACTATGAATCAGTTTGCGACCAAACCATTACGAAAGAAGTTAATGAGACCGATGAGCCCAAGCAAACATCCGTTCACCTTCTTCCTCAGGCCCCTCTTTTCCACAAGGGCCCTTTTTGCGCATGATGCACCTGCATTTGCAGGCGTTTTTTATGAATACAGCCAGTGAACGTGCATTTGTCAGTTCGCCCATAAATTTTCCAGTATTTACTCGGTTCAGCCAACTCCACGCTGGGTGGTAGGTTATTTATACTTTTGGCGCGCGCATAACTTGATGTCATATGTATAGGTTGCATTCATCGGTAGGTTTTCATTACTTGACTTTCTTTTGTAATTTCAGGTTTATAGAATTGGGACCTTTTTTGGAATCTATCGGCTTACCACAGAACTGTCAACGCCCTTCACCAACCAGCGGTACGTGCCGTAGTTATCTAGTATAGTAGACACTTATGATGCATTACTTGGCTGTACTCCAGTATTCACGAGAACATTCCCCTTGATTTCTCGCCTACTTTCAAAAACCTTTATTTACCACCACAACTGGCCGATTTACTCGCCGCGATATTCTATGATCTTGCTGGTGGGAATTCTGGCTGAAGCTCTCCACCATGCGAAAATTGCATTACGGCTTGTCCGAAAGTCGAGTTCTTTCGATCTGTGGCCTTGAACGTCCAGTTTTGTTAAAGCGCTGCCTACTACTAGTAGCCTCAGCTCTGTCTCAAATTTCAT